AATGTTCTTTTTAGCAGCATCATATGACCCCTTTAACATCATAGGTTGCCTATTGAGTGTAAATGAATGTTTTTAGCCTGTTTAGCCGATAGTTGTGTGTGAGTCTCTAGTTTGTCCTTAGCAGTGAAGCTACACACTGTTCTTGACAAAAATCCTCAGTAAGTTCTTTTGATTCTCAGCACGCGCTGCACGTTTGAGCTCTTCCCCACTGTGGCGCAGTGATATCGATATCCAGCTTTGCCACTCAGGACAACTGAGGGACTCATACACTATCGATTATCACATAAGCCAAAGAGCAGGAGGCAATGCAGAGATGTAATTTTTTGAAGATAATCATTTGTTTACTTTTGTCTTGGGTTATGGAGCTTTTTCAGGCCCTTACAAAATAATAATAATGGAAAATGTATGAGAAAGGAGAATAAACGTATGACCACTTAAAAAAAATAAGGATCCTGATCACTATTTGTGCCATGAATTAATAAATTATCATGAATAATCACTAGAGGTCACTGTGGTCCAGTTTCACTTTCATCATCTCTTATCCAAACAATGACTATTTTTCAATGTCATGTATACTGATCATTAAAATTGCACAATAAAATGTCCTATTTAAAAAAAAAAAAGATGGATGTGTGATGAGCTATTAACTGACAATGTTCTGTACATACGCATCATAATTGGAGTAAATAGTAAAATAGTTTTCTGTAAAAATGAATGACTGAATTAACCATTTTTCAGTTACAAACATAATAGTTGTTCTTTATTCTGGCTACATCCTCTCTTCTCTGTTTACAATGCTAAGCTAAACTGTTCAGTCTCGTGGAAGCTCATAGAGTACAAGCTGGTCTCTGCCTGTCCGTGTGAATGTATTACAACATCCATCATTTCACATTCTCCAGAGAGAGAGACAAACAGAAACAATCACTGACCACTAAACAAACCCTTTAAAGTGTCATTCAACCCACAAAGTACCAATTAATGTCAGGATCTTTTACTTTCACACAACCTGAAACCCAGGCTGAAATTATATTTAGTGGAGATAACATTGCAACTAATCAATGTGTAATTCAGTCAACTAAACAGAGTAAACATACTTGTTAAACAATATTTAATATGTTTTATTCAGTAAAACTTACTTGATATGCAAAAATGCACCATATATTTAGATCTATTATAAAATAATATCTTGCTTTAGTACGTTTTTAAGGTTTTTAAGCATAATGATCAAATTTAGTACACTTAACTATACAAAAGTTTAGTTTAAAAATAGCATAAAACTGCCCATGTGAAAAAAATATATATTTTTCATTAAAATAATATAGCTTCTCGAATTTATTGGCTTTTAAGGATCTTTATTTTTTCTATATGAGGTGCTGAAAAGCTAGTATTTAACCTTAAATAATTAGTTTTTCACCTAAAAATAAAGACTTAAGAAAATATTGTGTATTTAATAAATGAAAGGTAAACACTCTCACAAATACTTGATGAATTGCCTGTCAGAGGCAAACTGAATCATTTATGACAGAACTGGTGCATGGTTGATGTATTTTATGATGCAAAAGGGGCATTCATGTATATCTCATGGGGACTGTAGAAATGCCACATACCAGATTTTGCTGACACAACCAGTAAAATTGCTGGAATTTCTGGGACATGAGGAGCTGAGCACTGCCTACAGCACTCCGGATCTTCCCAAGAACTGTAAGACATTATTTGATAGAAATATGTGCATTATTAAATAGAAATATGTACATATACATAATTTTCTTTGAAATTATATAAAAAAATATATATTTATTTATTTATTTACACACACACACACACACACACACATCGGGTAAAATAAGTATTGAAAAAATGTTTTTTTCTCAGTAAATATATTTCTAAAGGTGCTGTTGACATGAAATTTTCATCAGATGTTGGTAACAACCCAAGTAATCCATACATACAAAGAAAACAATACAAATAAGTTCAGAAATTAGGTTCTCTGTAATAAAGTGGAATGACCCAGGGGAAAAGTATTGAACACGCTTACTAAAAATGTATTTAATACTTCGTACAAAAGCCTTTGTTGGTAATGACAGCTTCAAGACGCCTCCTGTATGGAGAAACTAGTC